ATGATATGATGATGAATATCACATTCAGTCACATAGAAGGATCATCAAATGGAATACCTGAAAGCAGGTTTATAAACAACAGACAAAATAAAATAAAATGCTGGAAATTCAGATCACACACCCTTGGGTAATCCAGAAAAACAAGTGATTCAACACTCCAGATATTTCTGTCCCGGAGGGTTCAAGATCGCACCACTCTCTACGCTGTTACTTCAACTGATGTCACGTGACAGACATACTGAGTGAAGTAGTAAACTGGTAAACGCATGATTTGCGGCAGTGGAAAATTTAATGTCGGGACATTGCTTGAGTACAAGCATTATATATTCTTGGTCTAATGGGGCGGTAATCAGTCAGCTTCTCTAGAATCTAGTCACTAATCCGGACGGTGAACTTGAGTTTCTACTGTTGCTAGCACCAGTGTAAACGCGAAAAGTAAAACTACTATTCTGAGGATATTCTCAATGGACATGCCCGTTGAAATGAACAATCTACCAAACAACATCCCAAGTCTGGCCAGGCAAGCTATGAGACTTCTCCACAAAATTTCAATTTAGTCACTAAACTAATGATACTGCTGTTTTGGTCTAGTCAGGTCTCAAAGAACTCAACTACAGGAGATAGTTTGCTTAAAACAAGGTCTATCAGACTGATATAGGGGGACACGGGGTCGCGCACGTGCCCCCCTGAAAACAGCTTATCCGTTGAACTCAGGGTCACGCGTCCGCTGACAAGATGGACAGTCCTGACTAAGCTCATTTGATGAGGCCCTCTGAAGCAAAACGCATTCAAATTTGGCTGAGGGTTTCGGGAAGTGGGCTGCACAAATAATCATCTTGCGCCCAAACCAACGACAAATTTACTAACGTACCTTTTCAATGACCGTTGGACTAGTGGCTGCCTCTTCTGGTTTGTCTGTAACAATTTGCTGAAATAACACGTCGTCCTTGAAACTCGCTCGTTTGGCGTACAAATTATAAGCACCAAGGGAAGCTGCAGAACAGAAGAGCGCAAAGGTACTGAAAATAGTGAGTAATAAGGGCTAAACAAAGAGTTTTGGCAAGTCTTCTCCGTATCGGGCTACATCGGGTTAATGGGAGACCAGTGTAGCCATGAGAGCATAATCAAATAAAACGAAAGCAAAGTTCTTCAAATTACCTCTTTGATTCTTATAAGCAGCGTTGAACAAAAGAACTGAAAGAGGCAGTCCACACCAGTACATTGCGCCGCATTTAGAGAGGAGCATCTAAGTGGTAACTACACAACTTATTGATCAGCAATAGCGGTCAAAAGTAACGCACTTAGAACCGCGAGTGATTACAGTAAAAATACCCTGTACAGAAGGTGAAACAGAGATGCAGTGCTTCGGGACTTTTAAGCTCATAAACGTTACATGGTGACGCCCTAATTGGAATAAAATCCTCATCAGATGTAAGATGAGAATTGCTACAAAAACCACCAATGGACATACAGCAAGCATTTCACCCCTACTGGTGCTAGTCACTTGTGACTTCAGGACATTAGTGCCACGGCAAATGCCGATTTACCAGGCTGCGTTCTCCTGCTAAATTCAGTGAAGTGATGAGCAGCAAGTTACGTTTTACGTCACCTGTGAAGTGAAGCAATGAAATGGCAACTTTTAATGTTAAGCCAATCCAGCGGCGGTTCGCCGCCATCACACAAAGCAGACTGGCTTCCTTTCTATAAATTCGCATGAATGAAACACCGGCCGTGTAACATTCGTGTTTCAGCGGAGATAACGTTTATCACCAAAATATGATTAGTAGATGTCAGCCATTCGTAACAAGATATCAAATGCGGTCTAATACAATTCACCAATGAAATCCTGTTGCGTGAAGGTAGGAAGGTGGGCAGAAATGATACATCTTCGTCAAAACCAGGAGAATGGAATGTTTTAGTTAGCAAAGGACAGATTCGAAGCTATTTTTCCCAAGCGTGTGTAGTAACTGTATTTTCCTCAGCTTAGTTCTCTGTCAGAACCTCCCAAGTTAGCGTTCCCGTGAAAAACAACGACCAAAGGTGCCCCAAAAAAGGTAAAAAAAAACACTTATACAGCGCGTCATATGTAAAATGTATGCCGCAAGAACATTCCGAGAATTCCGACGCCTTCTAGATGCGGCATTGGCAACTGACGAATACTGGTCGTGATTGGCTTTTGGGTCCAGACTTACGAACAATCAGAGCTCGCCTTGATGCCGGACCGGCAGGCGGTTTGAACTTTTGGCCAATCTTGTGCGGGATGGGCCTTTCGGCCGCAGCAGCGCCTAATTGCGAGCGGTATTGGCGTGAGATTCCGTCCAACGTGAGACTGGGTGATGTTAAAATGCATATTTCCACTTCCTTAGACATGGTCTGGTCGAAAAGATACGCAAAAGAGTGGACATTTCCACCGGACATTCATTTCGAAAGGACCATCTGAACAGGCTTGAGATCGTCTCAACTTTAAGAATAAGTCAATCTCGCCATAAATGAGCAGCACCAACTTATATCTACCTCACGTAAGATATAACACCAGGACATCTTTCGGTCCTACGTTTATCAACCTGCACTGACTCCGATATCAAATAGTTAGTCTTACAACTCTCGAGTAGGCCGTGTGCATTACCGTATTAATGCAAGAACTACAAGTTCCACCAATGGTTTGCGTCGAAATGCAAACACATGTCACACAGCACGAAACTTTAGCATTTGACTGAGGATGGTCACGAGTCACCGTTCTGTTGTGCACACAAAGTTTCGCAGATGGTTTTCAATAAAATGTGAGCTGATCAGTCACATTTTGTGAACAAAGTCTTTTTGGTACTCTACGGCCTTCGCTTACTTAGGAACACCAACGCCGTTAACAACAATCAGGACTTTCGTGAATCGCAAAAGGCTGTACTGAACTAGTATGGCAGTTAAGCGTCAATATGTTTTACTGGTGTATTGCTGTCAACAATAATGAAAATTGCCGTAGACAACCATAGTAACAAATACAATCGAAATGCCCCAGAGTTTATCGTCAACCCATGACGTCAAGGCATTGGGGCGCATTCATCCTTCCTTCCACCAAATATGCCTATGACCACACAAAACACTATCTCATAGCATTAAAAAAATAGTACATACGAATTAAACCCAAGGTGCATAGATGTTTTTGCTGTCAATAAAGTAGTGAACTGGATAAGAGAAATTCTATTTCAGGTAAGGTGGACCTAAAAACACATAAAATACGGCCAAAGCAGGACATATTTCAGAAAGTGAAAGTAAAGTACCAGAGCCAGTTCAGCTGAACCAGACCACAGGAATTTAACAATAGATTGCACTCAAACGATCCCCATCATTCATCATGAATCCCAAATCATTGCCAGTGGCGTTTTCGATCAATCAGGACACAGGATGAAACAGCAACGAATGAAACCACCGGACCGAACAGCTAATCGTGATCGAATTTCATCCCCGACTAGTAGCATGCAACACTACTCAACGCACAAGCAACAACCCACTGATACGCTCCACTACGCACCCTAACAACGCGCTGATGATGTCACCTACACTAAAGGTGAAACGTTTGTAACAAAACTGCCAGTTCCGCGACCAAACCAACGACCATCGTTTTAAAAGCGAGTTATTTTGGGACAGGATGGTAGAAAAAGATGCATCAAGTGGCACAGTTGTACGACCTTCCAGTTCTTGTTTGGTGAAACGGACAAAAATTTGACCAACGCGATTTTTTTCCTGTTACGAGACAAAAGCCAGTTCTTCACGCAATGGAGAAGTGACCGCTGCGTGAAATATCCTATCCCCTGTCCAATTGTGACTATCACGCCCTGTACTCTTGTCATCGGTCTTTTTATCACTAATGATGATGTAGTCGAATCTTGGATTCTTGGGGGGTGGGAAGGAAGTGCAAATCAAGAGGACTGGGATTGAAAATGACACCACGTGAGTTGCATATGCTTCTCTGTTTTCTCATATGCTACACCGACTGCAACTTTTCATGCTGCATTTAAACGTCAATTCTTACGTACTATATTTCGTTGTTTGATCGAACTCTTTGTGCTCATTTCAGATAGCTTGGCACGTGACAGTAACAGGTCTGAACCGGTTCACTTGAAATATATTTATATTCGCTGATTCCCTATTCGATTCACCTAACTGTCTACACGGCTTATATATACGATTACAGAACACAATCCTAGGGAACACTACGTTTCCGGTCTACGAATGCGTCCTCAGCTTGCCGAATGATTAAACTAGACAAGACCGTGTTGTGCAAATCAAGACGTCGAACTACCATTACCATTTGCTGATATAACGCAGTGATAAACCTTTTCATTTCATTCAGAACTGGCTTCGGTTTCACCGTCAGGCTATTATTCAACGTTCAGTCTTGATTTCAAACCCATTGAGTAATGGTGAAATATACGCAGAAACTAGGTGCATAAGGAAGAGAAACTCTATGAACCAATATTTAGGTTGTTGGCTACCGCGAAGCGTTATCGAAATGTCATTCTGATTCAGTGAAAGTACGGCAACGCGACTCACAGAACTTTTGAAGCAGATCCAGTGGAAAGCTCCACTGAGAACTCTGCCAAGGATTCCTATGATTTTGCCGCACCCATCATTCACCTTCCGGAATTTCCGTTAAACTCCAAATCCGATTTTTCATGTCATCCAGCACTTCTTGATTTAAAAAAATCAGTTCATTCCCAAAATTCGTACTGACATTGCGCTCCAGAAGATGGATGATCCTATAATTTTTCTTATGGAGAACAGTTCCGAGCGAAGCGATGAAAAAAGAACGTACGTTTGTGCTTGAAGGAACCATGCCGTAAAGTCAGATAATTATAGGATACGTTGCCTTGTAGGACACAAAGATTAAAGATAGATAGGTAATGCATTTCACGATCAAAACACATTGTGGGGATGCAGTCTGTAGTCAACCGAATCTCATCATGCTACGGGCCAAACGACAACTAGATAATAGAACGGAGTTCGGTATAATAATACGCGTTTCAACAAAATCCAATCTCCTTAACATCCTACATCCTCACTCAAAGTGAAGGAACGGTCAGTTTGATCCTCTAAAAATGAGCAGAACTTTTTTTTGCGGAGCCATTATTAGTGACTAGTCGCAGTTTCTGACTAGATACGGATGAAAATACGGCGTAGGTTTCGCGGTATTCCTGTAAGAAACAAATGTAGCAGTACTATATATCAGTTTCATCCCTGACGATATTCGCGAGCGAAGTGCGCTTCATGAATCTTGGAAAGTGTAGGAACCCGTAAACTTAAGGGCATGGAAGTAAACACTGCCAGGAAAGAGGACAAGGCAGGTCATCATCCCTGGGATCAGTCTACGCGCGAGAAGACAATCGTGTATCGCGCACCCCTGATAGAGACATGAGCGGCGTCATGTACACTATAATTGAAAGTTAACCACTGTTGAGCAACTACACATGATTGAACAGCATATTATTCAAACTTATATATGGAAGTTGCGGGTTTAATTTCCATAGGGGCTTGCCAAACTCACACTACTGATACTGCCCAATAAGTAGGTGGTGCCTGCACAGTGCATCTTGACTTTTTTCCTGTCTATGGTCTTAACTGTGGGGTGAACTCGGACTGAAAATCACATATAAGAATGGAAGATATCACGTATTACTTTCGAGATAAGTTGTAAAGCCAGGGACTCAAGTGTTTGAACTCTGGACAGCGCTCGATGAATTATAAGCGACAGCGAAACCCCTCCTATTGAAGTTTTTGAAACCGACTCCGTCTTCGCAAAAACATATAATAAAATTCCAAGCTCAAAATATGATATTCATCAACTCCCCCTTAAGCATAGACATCAACAGCATGTCCCGTACATAGCAGATAAAAAGAACAGTCAATCCCAGATTGTTGCATCATATTTCCCGACTGATCCTTAAGAAATCCGATGGCATGCGAGAGTAAGCCTCATTCAGATTTTGCGTACACCGCAC